CCCCCGGGACCTTCATCTGCGAGTGAGGGGCGAAAAAACGGGCTGAAAAACGGCAAAAACGGGAAAAAACGTAAAATGGGGGAGGGAAAGTACCAAAAATGCAAAAAAAATGGGAAAAAAAGCTCAAAAAACGGGCTGAAAAACGGCAAAAACGGGAAAAAACATAAAATGTGGGAGGGAAAATACCAAAAATGCAAAAAAAATGGGAAAAAAAGCTCAAAAAATGGGGTGAAAAATGGGAAAAATGGGGAAAAATGACAAAAATGGGAAAAAAAGCAGAAAAAATGGGGAGAAAGTACCAAAAAAATGGGGTGAAAAACGGGAAAATGGGAAAAAATATAAAATGTGGGAGGAAAAATACCAAAAATGCGAAAAAAATGGGAAAAAAAGCTCAAAAAATTGGGGTGAAAACTGGGAAAAATGGGGAAAAATCACAGAAATGGGAGGAAAAATACAAAAAATAGGAAAAAAGTACAAAAAATTGGGGTGAAAAATGGTAAAAACGGGAAAAAATATAAAATGTGGGAGGGAAAATACCAAAAATGCAAAAAAAATGGGAAAAAAAGCTCAAAAAATGGGGTGAAAAATGGGAAAAAATGACAAAAATGGGAAAAAAAGCAGAAAAAATGGGGAAAATGCAAAAAAATGGGGTGAAAACTGGGAAAAATGGGAAAAAATAACAAAAATGGGAGAAAAAATACAAAAAAAATGGAGAAAAAACAAAAAACTGTGTGAAAACCAACAAAAATTGGAAAAAATAACGGGAATGGGGAGGGAAAATATAAAAAATAGGAAAAAAAGCCCAAAAAATGGGGTGAAAAACAGCAAAAATGGGAAAAAAATAACGGGAATGGGGAGGGAGAACAACAAAAAATGGGGTAAAAAAGCACAAAAACGGGGAGAGAAATCAGGAAAAAAGGGGTGAAAATAAATTCTGGGGATTTTTTGGGTCTCCCAGGGTATTGCAGAGTCCCCCAGGTGCGATTCCCGTTGGTTTTGGGGTGATTTGGGGTGATTTTGGGGTCCCAAAATGGGGATTTTTTGCCCCTCCCAGGTACGTGGGGGAGCTGATTTCGGACGCCGAGGCCGACGTCAGGGAGGACGATTCTTACCTGTTCGACCTGGACAACAAGGTCTGGGGGGTCTGGGGGGGCTGGGGGGGGCTGGGGGGGCCTGGGGGTTCG